AAGCCCACCACCAGTGGAAACTTTATTTGTAGTTTCAGATACAGTAGGGAAGGGTTAAATGTTCTATTAAGTATTTACTGATGGCTGTGTCTCTGTTGGGGAGAATTTCACTCACTTCCTGTGAGGTCACGGGACAGGAAGCAAAAGGAAAGGTCACCAACACAGACAGCAGGGAAAGCCTGACAGAGTGCAGTTGAAAGGTCTTTTCAATATGAGCAGAATGCAAAATGAAGATGACTTCAAGGGTATGTCAACTGTGCTTCTATTACTTGTTCCCTTTTGCTTAAATATACCATTAAAAGTCTATTTTTATGTCTGTTCAATAAGTGCAATAAAAAAAAAACAGTTCCGCCATCTTGGATTTAGGGGCTGGCTGTGACTTCCTGATTTTACTTACTCCCTACTGCGCATGCATGGGATCCAGTTTGCATAGAGACTAATCCTGCACCCTCCTTGGAAGTAGCACTGTATCCCAGGAGGTTGCACCCAGGAAGGGGGTGGAGAGGACCAGGGGCGTCCCCATGATGACGCAGCATCTCATTAGAGGGACAGCAGTATGGCCGAATAAGAGCACCCCACTCCCCTGGCTGACAGCTCGGCCAGCCGCTACCTGCCACCCGCTACCTGCCACACACCTGACACTTCGGCTTAACCTACTGGTCCAGTCGTTCCTCTCCAGGTAGGGACGGCCCTAGAAAGTCAGTCATCCTCACCTAGGTGAGGAATGAGGAAGCAAATGTGTGGATGAACCTCACTGGAAGAGTTCCTGGCTGTACCACCACTATCATGAAGTCACCTAAAGACTCAGTCTTTATGCGTTGTAGTTCCAGCACACTTTTACATCTATTTAGTGGTGGACACCACCAGACGTACCCCTGTAAAAGACCACTTTTTAAGTCCCACATTTAAAGCTGAACGTCGCGGGGAAACTTTTTTTTTTTTAGATACATTCCTAAATAGCAACAGGGGATATAAATCCACCTTGTGTGCACCAAATGTCTTTGCATCCAGCAGACCCCACCCACTACAGGAAACTATAGGAGGGGGCTGAGACATGACCAGTCACCCTGCACCATTGACTTCTATGGGGCTCCTAAATGGTGCCCTATGAAAGTCAATGGTATATAATAAATTAAGTTTGTTTTATTTTTTGCTAATAAAGATTTACATCCATCTAAAATGAATTCTCTTGTGATTTTAGTAGTTAGACGTTCTCCACATTGACAATGAAACCTTGAGATGTATACAGGGAGAGCAGACTACTTCCTCTGTGCATCAGTATTTAGCGATAGTAGCGTAGTGCACTATGCTGCCTCGAGATCTGAGAACCCCTGTTTGTGATGCAGGAGAGCTATTCCCAAACACACCCCCTGCAGGCTCCTTGCTTTCTATTACATACAGAAAGCTACATGAGAATGATGAGTACTAGGAACTTTCTCACAGCTATCAGTCAGAATAAAACCTTCTTTGCAGTAAAGGAAGTAGAGAGAGAGAGAGAGAGAGAGCGAGAGAGAGAGAGAGCGAGCGAGCGAGAGAGAGAGCGAGCGAAGATTACACAGCACAGGCTTCAGGAAGTACACTCCCAGTGACCCTGTGAGGTGATCTCAGGATTATGGCTGAGTTTATTATACATTATGTACATTATAAATTGAGAGAACTACATTATTTAGCATCAGCAGCTCACTGATTGCTCTTACTTGGTGCCCAGAATTGCTGTTTATTGAGCGGTTTATTTATGGCTGTGGATGACACCTTGATATGTATGGCACCCATATTGTGCTCTTTTTAAACAATAAGGGTGCCATTTCCTGATGGGATATCGAGCTCTGACTCCTCTGCATAGTCAGTACACTTGGGTATATATTGTTTCTGTACCTCTGTTACATGTTTTTACAGTTCCAAGAAGCAAGTCCGTACACAGGATTTCCAGTTATAAATGCAGATCCCCTTTTTGTCTGTGACCCCTTCATGCAGCAAGCCAGAGGGGTCACCCCCTTTACGTTTTACCAGCACTGAGCTGGAGATTACAAATATTACAGTGAGTGCCATCTGCTGGTGAAATCTGGTATCACAGCGTATCTATCCATAGCGCTCTGGCAGTCAGTCACTATAGGACTGGTTGGATTTCTGTTGGAGCTGTGGGATGAGATATCCCTCTGCTCCACTGAGTTGTGAAAAGGGAAGCAAAGAAAACAGCACAGCAAACAGTCAGGTCACACATTCAAGTGAGACAACAAAGCTGATTGATGTCTGACCAAAGCAGCTCATTTTAATAAATCAAGCCATGTGTGTTACTACATAATCTATCTATCTATCTATCTATCTATCTATCTATCTATCTATCTATCTATCTATCTATCTATCTATCTATCTATCTATCTATCTATCCCCACCCATTCATCTATATATCTACCTATTCAGCCATATCCATCCACCCATCTTAGTAAGCAGTTAGTTCAAATGTGCATTGCATTGTATATCAGCTCCGTACACACTGTGCAATGTATTCCTGGTCACCTGTTCTGCCTTATGTCTACCCATAGCATTGAAGTAACATTGGTTGCCACGTGTATTACCATGTTATATGGGACACTGCTTTGTGCTAGAAGAAAGAGAGAGGTATGTGCGTTCTTTTTCAATCATATCCACAATGACAGGTTCAAAATCTATGTGCAGACCATATAATATATACTGTGTATAAATATACACACACACACACACACACACACACACACACACACACACACACACACACACACACACACACACACACA